CGATCCGCCATTGATAGCGATTGGAGAAAGAAGAAAGAAAAATTGTTAGAGAAGGTTTGATCAAGTCGTCGATAAGACGAGTCAACGATTTCGCTCGAGAAAGTCTATGAAGCAGTAGTACACGTGTCGTGATACTAGTTGTTTATATTTTGGAAGAAAATCAACATTTCATATTAAGAGCTTGTTTTGGTAAACGTTTTGTTTCACAGTAGCGATTAGTGTAACATGTTTTGCTGTTTGTTGTAGACTAGTAGTTAGTTCAAAAACATGCTTTAGAGACTCATAATTTATCACCAAAACATGCTTTAGAGACTGACTAGTCACCAAAACATGCTTTAGAGACTAATAATTTTCACCAAAATATGAAGTGGGAGTTTGGGGATAAACTCAACTTCATTTTAGAATTACTTTGATTTGCTCTTATGCACCGTAATCGCTAAACAGTAATATCGAACAACCACTATAAAACGAACTAAAAATTGCTTTGATTTGGACTTTTTTCAACTTTTTTTGTTTTGGTTTAAAATTTCATAAATACTTGTCCTTATTTATAACTTCAATGGTGATCATAGTGTGTATTTTTTAGCATGTTCCGTGACATGTTTTGGGTTTTTTTCATTGGCTTTCAACTTTCAAGTATTTTTTTTGTAATCCAACTAAAACACCTTTGATATTGTATTAGAGGTGTAATCAGCTAATTGATCTTCAAGTTTTCTCTAAAAATATATTTTCTTTCTTCCTTCTCCTTTTCCTTTAATCAACAATTTTAGGCTACTAATTGAGATCCTTTATGTTACCACCATGTTAATGGAATCTAGTACTCTGAACAATACTACTAGATATTCTGACTTGCAACTAGCCCTACCGATGCTTAATGATTATTCACACAACACCAACATTCGATTGATTGATTGAGCTAATGTCATCTCAAGTTAAAATTCACATATTCGCAATATAAATCTTCACCCCCTCAAGAACATGCAAGCACAATCAAGAAAGAGCTTTGGATTT